TGCAGGTGACCAGACTCGAGGGTCAGGTGACGCGCTACAAGTCTGCTGCCGAGAACGCTGAAAAAATTGAGGACGACCTGAAGGCCGAGAAACGGAAACTCCAGAGAGAGGTAGAGTATCGTTTTCTCACCCCAGAATTACAAGCTGGATAATCTAAGAGGCTCTAATTCAAAGGTAATCTGTTCTCTTTCCTCCTGTTCAACCCAACAGCTGCGATCGGCACTGGACAAGATCGAGGAGCTCGAGTCCAACAACAGCCACCTTTCTAAAAGACTGGAGAAGATGAAGTCCAGCCGCGGCATGGCGCAGACTCCATAGCACCAACTGCACGCAGCAGCTTCATCGTGATTTTAACCAAAAACTGGCTTAAAAAGGGAATCATCCTTTCAGCTGCCTAATAGCAACTTTAATAAAACACAAAAAAATCACACAGTTATCCACAGAGTAGAGAACACCAACAAGCCATGTGCCATTTCTTTGTTTTCTTTCCGATGAGTGTTTTTCGTAGCATCGTGCTCACACCCAGAAAGTACCTGAAGGAACTGAGGGGTGCGCCCGTTCGTGTACTTTCATTGTGACTGTGGCTGAACCAGAACCGGGCCCACAAAATGTTGCGCTTCCTCCCCCAACTCTCTGCTGCTCTTCACCGAGACGTTTCTTCTCCTAACTCAAACGGAGGGAAGAGACATTCAGGACGGTGCACGGCGCCGTTAGCCACGGCTCAGACTGTTACCTTCAGCTTCCTGTTGTTTTCTTTTCTTTTTGCATCCAAAGCCAAACTAGTTTTAAATGAGGTTAAAGTCTGGGTGTTTGTCAACTATGCAAGATGGTTTTTGGAGCACCTCAAACATGATCTGATCAGTCAGAACATTTTTGGAGTTTTCACATAGCCAGCCGTTTACTGAAAGTTTTTGCCCACAGCGTGTATCCGTCTCCTGGGAAATCTCGGAGCTTTTTCCTGCTTCACGTAGTCGGTCACTGGTTGGCTCTTGTGCACTCACGTAAACGCTGAGACTTACTGACGAAATGTGACGACAGGGACTCACAAAGCGGTGTTAGCAGGAGATACAGAGCACACTGGGGAGATGCTGCTTCACTGTTTACAGAGCTTTAAACTGTTTGTAAGGAAGCAAAGAACTGTAACCTTCGTGCAATAAAAATTCAAACTGAACTATTTGCTGTTTTTCTATTTAGATGTGCTTTTAATGCACTGGTCGATCACAGGCCTGCCAGATGATACTGAACGTTGCATCAAACTCTGACTGTACTTTTCCTTGTTAACACCATCAGTTTTGACATCTTCAACACCACTGACTGAAATTCAGCTTCACACCATAACAGAGCCTCCACCATGTTTTATATTCCTTCAGAACGGCTCCTTAACAGCGACCTGTCCACTGAGAGCATTTCTGACCAGGCTTCAGTGGAAACTCTGGACTTTCAGCTGATGCATCTCTCACGTCCTGTGTCAGGTGTTTGCTGGATTTGTTCCTGTTTTTTTAAAAACATGATTTTCAGATACTGTTCATCTGCTACATATAGGTCTTTAGGCCTGCCACTTCTTTTGTCAAGTTTCTTCAAATTCGTAAGGACACACTGCACACCATACTGAAATATGCCAAGTTTTTGGCTAATAGCTTGAGAATCACCTTGTCGGTGCAAAAACACCATTTTTCTGTTAACCTGTTGTCTTTGGCATCTTTTGTGACAGGCTGCGAGTAAAAGAGTACCTAAAGATAAAATACAACTTCCTGTTGGCACAATACCGGTTAATCTCTTTAGCTAGGTGCCTAGCATTAATTGTCCTAAATAACAAATAAGTCAAAAAATACTGGCCAACACTAGTTCTACCCCTCAGCCTCGTAGGAGATAATACATCACCTTTTTCTAGAGTTATGATTTTTAGCAAAACCTTGAGGTTAAGGTCACTTAGATTCAAACTTGTCTGAGATTTTTAGTAGCTGCACCTATGGTGTCACTTTGAAGTTCGTACGTCATTTGGTTCTCACATTATCGCATTTGCAAACTTATGTGTCCGCTCGTCTGCCCGGCAGGTTGACAACGATACCTCGTCAGCCTTTTACAGCCAAAGGGTAATAATGGAAATGGTCAGGCAGTAGGACTGGACTGAAAATGAGTGAAAAAGCAGCCAAGCAAAGCTCTTAGACAGACCTTTAGAGGGCTGGAGGACCATTGTTCACACCCACTGCTTAGAAGCAAAATATTAATAATCGGCTCAAGACTTTTGCACAGTATTTTATCTCTCTTCATGTATCACCACAAACATGGTCAAGCTGTCAATCGCCATTCAGAAGTGGCCACACCCCTTTCCATTCAGTCTTTAAGCTTTATTAAAGGAATAAACAGGTGAGCTGCATCCATGTTTCCTCTGTGGACTGTCTCATTTTTCAGCTCCAATTTAAATTTTTTGTACACAACACACAGTCAAACTATCAACAGTCGACCTCCACGCTGAGCAAAGCAGTGCTGCTTTACTGGATTCACATGTCTCAGAACTCATCCAGGTTTAGTAAATGGACTGCTGGGTAATGTAGTCTCAGAGTTCTGCTCCACGTCTATTTTCCCGTCGCAGTACGTCCTCTTCTGAATGCGCTGAATCATGCGCCGCCCGTAGAAGTCCCGATACTCTGCTGGCAGTTCATCCAGAGTGTGAAGCGCCCTCTCCAGGGCCTGAAGTGCTCGCGTTGCAGCCACGGGGTCTTTGTTACCGTACGGATCCTTCTTGTCGTAGCTGTCTGCAGGTAGATGGCGCCAGAAGATATTAACGCCCACTCCAAACTGCAGAGCGAGCGTGTTGTGGAACCACAGAGCTGTGGGAAAACAGGGACGCTGGGTTCAGTCGTGTTTCATGTTTGGCTGTAGGAGGAATGAAGCACTCCACCTACCGGGGATGAAAAGCAGATCTCCGGGCTCCAGCACGCACTCGTATCTCTTTGCTCTCACAAACTCAGGAAACCGCTTCAGATCGGGGGCGTCAATGTCCAAAACCTCTGACTTATCACCTAGTGGGAAACAATGGGAAACACGCTGCCAACCAAGCTCATGCCTGTTGGTGGATAACTTTAACCTGCGTCTTCAAAAACCAACATTTAGCAACCTGAATGCTAAACCAGTAGGTACTAATGTGTCCAAGAAGATCCTGCAGATATCTCCAAAAACGGGCAACTCGTAGAAGAATCATCTGCAAAACCTCTTCACGTGATTTTGGTGCTAACTGTCCCTTTACTAAGAGTGGACACAGTAGATGCAATACGTTTTCAGCGTTAAAACTAACAGGAAGTCCTGTTTGTTTGTTTTTTTGTTTGTTTTTTTACAGCCACTAACCTGACAGGTAGAGGTGCAAAGCATCCTGGGGGCTGTAGAGGACCACTCTCTTTGTCCCGGTCACCTGAGCTAGCAGGTTGTCCATCACCTAAAGAAACCAAAGTGCAAAAAACCAAGAAGAAGGGAC